ATTTTATATGGAAGAAAATGCGCAACACCCTTGGGCTACAAAACTGCTTACCCGAAAATCGTAAAAAGATTCTGAATAAAAAATTCGAAATCTTGGTGAACATCTTTTTAAATTTGATTGATTTTTGTGAATTTTGTGCAAGCTATGAAACTGTTATTTATGTGGTTTCAGTTGTTATATAGTAGAAGGAACTATATTTTACATGAAAATTGTTAAAAATAAATAAATGCACATAAGTAGAAAACAACATAATTTTAAATTTTGCTACTATATTGTACTCGCAGCTGTAAATAAAAAGTTTACAAAAAACATTTAACATGAAAAAGATTGTTAATATTTAAAAAAAAAATACTCTATGCACATTTTGTACATATGCATTTTCTACACGATTTTATTATGCTAGTGTCATTATGATTAGAAAGAAATATTTAAATATGCACATTAGGGTGGTCCAAAAATGTATGGGATAAAAGTAAAGTCGGAAATTTAATGCTCTCACCCCCTAGGATTGTTCTATACCGAAAAAAATATACCCCTGTTTTTTTATTTTAAAATCAAAATATATTTAGAGGTCGCTCAAAGCGCTGAAAGTTTCCCATGTATTTTGTATGGGGAAAAAAAGACTTTTCGTAGAAATGGCATAGAATCCATGGAAATCAAAATTTTTCAATCTGAAAACTCTGCTTCTCTTCAGAAGACTTCAGAGAATAATGCCCAATTGTTTATTTAAACGTTTTTAATTTAAACTATTTTTTATTTTTTTCTTTTTTATATTTTTGTTTGTATATTTGATTTTTTTTGGGATATTTCGGAGACCCTTAAAAAACGAATTCTACGAAAAGTCTTTTTTTCCCCATACAAAATACATTGGTAACTTTGAGCGCTTTGAGCGATCTCTAAATATATTTTGATTTTAAAATAAAAAAACAGGAGTATATTTTTTTTCAGTATAGAACAATCCTAGGGGGTGAGAGCATTAAATTTCCGACTTTACTTTTTTTTGGACCACCCTAATGCACATCCATATATGATATTCATATTT